TGGCTATTCAAGAAGAACCTGATTATCTCCCCTGGTCTATACATGATGCCTGTAAATGTTGCAGAGGCAGTGACAGTCACAGACACTGATGTACCATCAACTGCCCAATGAGTGTGATCATGGAAGGTTCAGAGGCTGATGGAGGCAGGCAGATGGCATAGTATTCTGTTCCGATGGTATCGAGAGGATAAGCAATAAAGCCATCAGCAGCTGATGTTTCTGAGTAAAGTCCGTACACTGCAATCTCTTCATCTGATGTGACCTTCAACCCAAATGCGTCCAGGGCATATCCTTGGATCTCAAACCCCTTGGGAATAACAACGGCCTGTAGAAAACAATTTGTTTGCTTGCTGATCTAGGTTTTGTGTCAAAAAAATGCTAGGCATAGAAGTAAGACTTTCTGCGTTTTAGATTACAAATTGCTAGCTGTTTGACATTATCGATATTATATGACATGTATGGAATAAGGAAATAGGGACTGTTCAACAGAATTGAATTATAAAGACTAGAAAGGCCAATATTTGCTTTGGAGCAAATACAGCGATGGGTTCACCACATTTTACGACATGGCAGGGAAAGAATGAGAAACACAAGGGAAAACAATGATTTACATTGATATAACTATAATATGAAGTAACATACAACTAAAACAACAGTTGGATAGCTATTCCCTACTTTATTGGTTAGGATTTTTAATTGCATAATGCAAACTGTTGATTTTCAAAATAAAAAAACGTTCATGCCCCGCATTCCAATGCTGGAGCAGAAAAGCTTGAAATACCTACCAAAACACTTGAATAAAGACATACTGTCAGTATGGAAATGCTCTGTGCAGGTGTTAATCAAGTTAAATCCCAACAGCCAATTAGCAAGAAATGCTCTGTGCAGGTGGAAATGCTCTGTGCAGGTGTTAATCAAGTTAAATCCCAACAGCCAATCAGCAAGAAGTATAGAGGAAAGCTGCATGCCTATTGGTTGATGCCCTGCATTCCATTGTGATGACTCATGGTAAACACGGCACACTAACACAGTAATACATTTGATATAACACAGCCAAAAAACTCAAATAAAACCATTCTAAAAGCCTGTATCACAAAATTTAAAAAACGCCTAGGGGTATTTGCCCACTGTACCTCCATACCAAATTTCAGGACCTTAGGCCCTAAAATGAAGAAGCTGAATCCATTTAAAAAATGGCAGGAGAAGAAGGAGGAGAAGAAGGAGGAGAAGAAACATCAGAAAAAGCAATATGGGTTCACCACCACTTCGTGGTGTGGTGAACCCATAATTACTCTACACGTAGGTCTACTTGCTGATATTATGCACAACAATTAAAGCTTGCTTAAATAACATAATGAAATATAGTGGAGAGGTCAGAGGTCTCTATTTAAGCTTTGGTCCCAATTGCGCCGGTTGTCGTGGTCACAATTAAAAGTTTCCTTCAGTGGCATTTTGTCACCCTTATTGGTCGGTCTCCGACAGGCACCCGGCAGGTACCCGGCAGCTTCTCTGACGATGTCTTGTACTGACCCACTTAATACAGAGTTCACGCTTTTGTTGTGATCATCTGATCTGTGACGTCACACATTTGAATTGGTCTTACGAAATACACACCTTTGTTATGTGTATCTGATCTGTGACGTGACAAATTAGTCCCGGTGGACTGCCGGCAACCGGAGGGGTACCTCTCGGTGTTCTCACGGCTCTGTTGTGTCCCAAACTGTGCCCGTCCCATTCCGTGCCTGAGCGGGCGCAGAACGGGACACGGCCTGACTGTCCAGAACCGTGCCCGGAAGTGCTGTCAATCATAGTGATTGGCGGGAACCTAGCATAATTATTCACGCCCACGACTTCTTATATGGCTAGATTACGTGAGATTTTGCGAGTCTGTGTACAGCATGTGCTTTCAAAACGCAGTTTTCTCAACTTAGTCTTATGTTTGGTCGATATGAACGTAGATAATAATATACAGAGACTAGTTAATACAAGGAAGAAACTCGCTTGGGATACATGTTATGAGAACTGTGTCCAGTCCCCTAGCACGCAAGCTTAAATAATACGTGTCCAGAGCTGTGTGCGGTCAGCCACGGTTCTGGATAGTCCCCTGCGTGTCCCAGAATGTAGATTAGCCCCAGGCATGGTTTGGGACACGCGCCGAGTGTCCCAAAAATTCCAGCCATTTTCAACTGCCATTTTGGTTTTGATTATGAAAGAATCACAACCACTGCATTATAGGTGAAAAAAGCATCCACAGCAGGGCTATACGGTGAAGAAAACGAAATCTAAAGATTTTTTTTAAGTGGTAAGGAAATCTACCTTGCACTTTTAATACAGAAGTTAATTTCTTCTGGACTGACAACGGGTTACCATGGCAACAGTCATATGGGTATGGGCGGTGTTTTGAGGCCTACGGCCACTTTCTTGTTGTAGAATGTCTGAAAAGTTAAAACTAGAACTATCAACCTCGATGACATTTCCTCAAATAAATTTGGCAATTTTATGGATTGTCCAGTGGGGTCAATTATTCTTCCAGGTAATATGTTTGCTTGAATTTTCTGCTGCCATTTAAAATAAACTCAACGTGTTCAGAACAATAAAAAATTGTGACCCTAGGTCAAGTCGTGGAATTCTTGTTAACTATATGGCTAGCTGTTTATACTGCCTTATTGTTATCAAACATGAAATGTAAATTCATACCCCTTGGCCTCGGTATGGCCATAAAAAGCCTTGAAAAAGATTTGAATATTGTTGAATTATTTGTTTGTTTGTTTGTTTGTTTCGCTTAACCGGTAAACCGCCTGTTGGTGAAACGCAACATAAAAGTAAAAGGTACGTTACACCAGAATGTTAGGTTTGAACCACTCACACCGGAGATGACCACCAATATTTTGGTGTGGTGGAAACTTATTGAAGGGAAAATGAAAGATACTTACAGATGTACACTGTGTTCGCAGGGAACTTGGACCGTAGCCACGTTTTGTTGTAGACCATGTGGTTGAACAGCACGTCATAATGTTCATCCGGGGTGTGGATATAATCTGTTTCAGCTGGAGGGAATGGCCAGGAGACGTAACCCCCCGCTTTAGCCACCAGCCCTGTGAGGTTGTGATAGATGGCGTATCTTTGGAACGGGAGTACACTGGTCATACTCCCAGTTTTGTGCGTTTTTATGAAAACGAATTTTTGTCTTGGCATCAAACAAACACGTGGTTTCCAGCTGGAAGCCGCTGGTCTTTTGGCTGAGGGTGGCCTGTTTCCTTTTACCGATCCCTTTATCTTTCCCTTCGGAACGGAACGGCTGTTGTAAAACGTCATGTTGCTCTGTTGACAAACACGTTAAGATTTGTCATATTCACATACTTGAAAAACAACGGCAAATATTCAAATTGAGTTTTGGTGTTTACGAGAATTTAAGTCTATCTAACTATTGTGCTTTATACATCAATTCGATATCAATTCGATATAGGTACATTACTTAAGTTAAGTGAAATATATTTACCGTAATGATAAAGACCAGTAGTAAGCACAAGACCAGAGCACCAGGTTCTTTCCAAATGGGATTCATTCTAGATTCCGGCTGTCGGTCGCTGTCCGAACGATTTTAGGCGTCAGCCACTGGTGTCATATATCTGCACAAAAATGACTCATTACAATTGTAGAAGTAATTTGTATTATTCCCCGAAATTTCTCAGTTCACAGTCAAGAATTTGCTATCGCAAATGTACGCGCATGGCACCTGGATGGCCTATATGGGTCCTACATCAGCCTTTCTAACATGGCTTGCTTTGTTCCCTGGCCCAGTTTTGTGCCCTCATGTCACCCACATGATTTGTCTTTTCCACCTCCCCGCAGGCTATGTCATTTGTAGATTGCGAAAAAAAGACTATATCTTTTCCAAAAAAAAAGGGCCCAGAACTTCGGCCATGCAGGGGGGGGGGGGTACA